CAACATTAATCGCACGTTGTGGCACATTTTATCAACACAAGAATGTAAAAACGGCCATTTAGATGAAGTCAACTTCATTACGGTTATTAATTAGCTCAAAGTTTCCAAGCTGTTAGTGTTATGTGAGGCATCTTTTTGCTCCAGGTGCTCTGGCGTTAGAAATACTACGCCCACACACACTCGGCTTCAACGGGCAAAGATAATAACTCAACTCAGAGCAACTTGCAGCCTGCAGGGCCTGAGCAGGGATATAATCCCGAGCGGAGTTAAGCATCAACATGAGCTGCCTGACAACAAGGACTCGGGCGCATAATTACATGAATATTGTTGCATGTTGTTGGGAGCCTGTTTATGGCCGCTTACCCTGATGCTCTTTTGTCCCATTTGTGTGACCTTGCCTGCTCACCAAATAGGATCCATGTGTTACTGTGACTGCACTAGCAAAAACAGCTAGCAAATATGAATTTAAATATATAAAAATAAACTTTAAATAAACTCTACTTATTTTTGCTAATTTATTCTTTAAGTGGGAAAATAATAAATAAATATTTTTAGGCGCTTCAAGCCATTATAAAATCCAATTTGAAATATCTTAGATTTGGCACCCACATTATTAAATATTTAAACATTTCTTCGGTATCGTATTTTCCGACTAAAGTGTTTAATTTTCAGTTATATTTAAAATGAAATCGTAATTTTTTGCCAGTGTTTATCCCTTTATTTGCCCCTCTGCTGTCTGTCTAACTGAATGTGTGTCTGGCAGTCCGACTGTCTGTCTGTCCGCCGGCTTCCTGTTCGCTCGCTGGAAACCTCAAGCGCTCTTCACCGCGCTCAAAAAGCCAAGCACATGGGCCAAACAAAAGCGCAACAACGGAGGTAGCCCGAACATGACCCTCGAAACAAAGCGAAACGACAACAAACATGGGCCAACTGGATGGCAACGAACTAATGTGGCATAGATTTTTAGCATAAACAGCGAGAATCGTTTGTGGCAACCCAAGGAGATGCCTCTCTTTGGCACTCGACTCAAGACCTTAAAAGGAAGCGAGGACCAAGATGGAAAAGCGGCCCCTTGTATTCAATTGCAAAACCGCAGCTCGCAAACACAAACACACACACAGGGCACCCACATCGACACTTTACACATGTCCTTTTGCAGATTTGATGGCGAAATGAAGATGAGAGACATGTCCTGCGGCCTGGCTTATGTATTTAGTTACATTTGCCAAATGAAATATTCATACATTCGTGTGCATTTACTTGGAAGTCGTGTACTTTAGCCCAAAAGCGTGGCTAAAAAGCCGGAAATTTTACCATCTATGTGCGAGTAGTCTCCCCTTCTATATGGATAATATCTCCCCACTTCTCTTCGCATTTACAATTTGCTTACATTTCAGAATTTTCAACTTTTCTAGTGCGATTCACCGTTTCGTATTCCACCCAGCTTTCCTCCGGTTATCCTTTTCTCATCGTGTGCTTACATGTTTGTGTGCGCTTGGGTTCCTCGCTTTTTAGTTAAAAGTTTTTCCACTCAGTTTGTTGGGCAAACAAATGCGTTCTGCAGTTCGGCCAAAAAGATATAAGTGGGATAAACAAATTAGATACCCTTACATTTTTCTTTGACTAAAATCAGATCTACTTTCTAGTAACCAGCTTCAAAAATTTAACTACTTATACAGTTTGTGCTTCTAACAGTTATATCAAAATTTATTACACAAAATTTATTTTTCGTTGAACAAAAATAGCCGATGGATTTATCAAATATATGAATAATAATTTAATCGTGTTATTTTATTGTTATTTTAATTGAGTAATTTTATTATAGTTCCATTATTGTATTCCATATTAATAATTTATTATGCAATATAAATTCCGTATGTAAAGGCTTTTCAAATGAACATTGTAAAATGTATTCCGCTCGCACTTTTATTTTTTGTAAACTGAAACATCCAATGTACCCTGCACAAATTTAACGCCTATAGGGGAACGGAATGAATAGGCCATTTAAATAATAACAATTCCGCATGGATGACCGCAGCAGGGCATTAACTAATATCACTGGCAGTTTATAGTGTCCGCCGGCAGTTCTATGAAAAGGTCGAAAACGCAAAAGGGTTGGCCTCAGCCATTCAGGGCTCTTAAACTTTAATGTCAGCAAAAAGGAAATGAAAATGATTTCATTAGATTAGCGACGCATTGTTGGGATATTCAAAGCGAAAGCCAAATTACTGATTTGAAAAAGACTCCAAACGTAGCCATGTTTTCAATCATCGATTGGATCAATACTTTTAGTGGGAACGGGCAGCTGGAAGTGGATTTGACAGCTTAACTTATTTATTTATTGCCATAAAAACTGATTTCAATTTCAGCTCTGTCATGCACTCAAACCTACCAATTCAGATACAGCCGGGTCAAGAACTTTAACACAATATCCGAACTGATTGCATTGAAAACCGATAAATGCTGTTAGTTTTAATTGAATTCGGTTAGGGACGAGTTGCGCTCGGGAACTTGTTGGGCGGGTGCGATAAGCCAATTTTGAAATTGTTATTCAATTAAATTTGGCAAGATCAACAAGAGCAGCAAAAACTCTGAACAACAAAAATTAATCGAGCCTGTGTAATAAATTGCAATTTATGTTAAGTTCATTTTTGCATTTAAATCAGTCAAACAAAAACCGGCAGCGCTCAGAATCCAGAATTAAATCGAATTATGTTAATTAAATGCGCCATGCACAAAATGAGAAATCATCATTATCATCAGGCAGCCAAGTTGAAGTTGTTGGCCAACTGGTTGACTTATTTATGCCGCACGATTACGCCAACCGCCAGAAAGCATCCAGCCACTTTTATTTTATTTTCCTTTCGAGTTTTCCTGCTTTTTTGAGGCCACCGTTGGCCTCTTTGTTGTCGAGGGCTAACCGTTCTGCGCTTTTGTCGACCACTCGACACACTTTTAATCCTAATTAATCCTTTCTGCGAAATGTTCAGCCCAAATGACCAACAGTCAGACCAAAGGACTCTGGAAAACTTTGGCGGCAGTGAAATCGTCGACATCACCACCTCGACTTGTCGCAAATTAACTCAATGAGCGACTCTTGTTCCAGCGGCAATTGTTGTGGAATAATTTAATTATGCCGACGCTGCTCGGTCACTGGATTCCCGAAAGGACTTCTCCCCGTGTGTGGGCGTGTCTTAAAACCCGGCTAACCATTTTCCAGCTCGAAAGTCGGGCTAAGTAATTGAGTCTCTGCAGGAAAACGTTTGAGTTGGTTTCAAAGTGAACAGTTTCAGAGATTAACCGAACTCTCAGTTTAATTAAAACCTGTTATGTCAACGGCTTAAAATAGCTGGCTTATAAAATTTGGGCATTTTCTTGACTAACTTTAAATTCCATAAATCGACAAACGGAATACTCAATGGTTGTGCAACAAAACACATTTTGATTGCTCAATCAAATGAGTAAAAAAAAAGCAAACAGTAATTTTCACATTACCCGTCAATATACTGATTAATAAAATAAATATATCAGGCGTTAATCTCAAAACAAATAAATGTTCCTTGGAATACGTTTTTCAAAATAATTTATATTTGGGTTGGAAAAAAAAATTAATTAAAATATTAAATTATTAAAAATATATACATTACTTTGACACTCTGATTTCATGGATATATAAATGCTGTTAGCAGGAAGCTCTATATTTAGTTTAAGCAATAAAATGTGTTCTACGTATATAATATTACACATAACTTTAAAATTCGATATTGAATGCGTGTTTAACTTTGGGTATCTAGCTATAAAACAAACCGAACTGTAATGTGAATGCATGCCATGACCCATTTCAGATACTGTCGAGTGCCTCAAGCTGCGTATGCGTAATCTATGTTATTAAAATTACTCGTAATTACCTTCCGGCCATAACGAGTTCTAGCGACTGGCACTTGTGTCCACATGAAATTATAATTACGTGGCAAGTTCAGGCGCCACGTGGCCAGGCAGGTTTATTATTATATAATCGATAGCGAAGTCGGGACCAAAGCAAAGTCGAAAGCTTTTAATTGGGAATTCGCATTTGTAAACAATTCGGGTTTGGCCCACAACAAGAGATGTGAAAACAACACAGTCAACTTTAGCCCCACAAATGGCAGAACAAAAATATCAAACCAAAATAAAAGTGTTGGACTAAAAATAGCGCATATAAACGCTGGAAAAAACTAAAAGGCAAGAACCGAACAATAGAAGAAAAAAAAAAGGCAAAAACCCACAGAGAGCGGTAACAGGATACGCGAGCGCATAGGGAAAATGCGGGGAAAAAGTGGAGAAAATGTGGAATCGCAGGACATGTGGGACAGTCAAATTTATGCGATGGTAGGGACAGCGACACAACCTCAGACAATAATTTTCGCCATGGGAGCCGGCAAAAAGCGAACTTGGCTAGCACACACCCTTTATCTCTGGCCTCTATTGCCCCGCACTCGTGTGTTATTTCCGGCAAAAAGCCACAGCGGCCAACGAATTGAGGGAGGAAACCATGTAAACGTGGCCGAAACTTTGCGAAAAATATCGCCGAGTGGCGGCAGAAGCGCGACTCAAAGTGGCTAAGACGGATAAGCGCCGCACAAAACGGCTAACGGTGAAGTTTTCCCTCAAATTTCGTTCTATAAAGGTTGTTTTTTCTTCGCTACTGTGGTTTCTTTCCCGAGATGGCTGCTAAAAGTACGACGACAGCTGCAGCGGAACCAGTTTCCCCATCCGCCGTGTTTAGGTTGCTTCCTTCCAAAAAAGAAAAAGAAAAAGTAATGCGATTGGGGGCGAGCCTGTGTCATCCGTCTTCGATAGTGTCTTTTGCAACGATTCACAGCTGGAGCAAAAGTTCAGAACTATCCTTTGGGGCAGCTATTAATAGATCGAACTTCATCTTCCTCATTGTTTCCGAGTTTGTTTACGTAGTTTGTAAGCGATTTTAAAAGGCAACGCTGCGTATACGTAACGTGACTTACCAATTCCTTTTCGTCGCAAAAGTTGTTGTGGCTTTTTTCCTGCAAGCTGAATGAGGAAATTAATTAGTTTCAAACAAATTTTTTGGCATTTACTTAAAGTTTGCAAGTTTATTTTCTATCAAAGTTTCTGAGATGGCGAAAAATGTAATTAAAAATTTCATTTTTATATTTTAAGTACTTTAAAAAATGTTATTGTTGAATCTCAAATGATTTTAAGAAATTAAGAATTATATTTTTAATTAATCAACATTCGACTTTTATGATATGAATTTTTTTTGTTTAAAGTAGAGCCGAATCCTAACACAATTTTTTAAGCAAAATAAAGCAATAAGCATTATATATTACTAACAGATTCGTGAGCTATTGTAATAAATTACATTTTGCCATTAAGTCATGCGCATAAATACAAGATATATTTTACAATTAACAAGAGTTGGGCTTAATTGGACACAACATAAATTTTCCAAAGTCGATGTCGAATGTAATTAAGTAGTCTTGGATTTATAACTAATTTTAACCCAATTTTGAAAACGGCGAATCGAATTAGTGTCCGTTTTAGCATCAAGTGCGTGTCCTTCTCTATCTCTCTTTCTTTCAAATGAATCAATAAACATAAATGATTTTCTCCAAGGCGTTTAAATAAATGAATTGCTGATTAAATGAAGTCGGAAAAGGAAGGAAAGAAGGAGACATGACAGATGGGCGAGGATGTCCCAGAGCGATAACAAACAGCAGGATGAAAATGCAAAGAATGCCCGAGAATTTCGGAAACAAAATAAACTTGTAAAAATGGGAGAAGGATAGAGAATTCGTACTGAGGAAATGTTAAAACACAGCCGCAGATGCCGACGCGACTCTCAAAATGTGCTCGGAGACACCGTTTTATGGCCGATGATGAAGGACGAAGGATATGGGCGGCCGAGAATGGCGGAATAATAACAAAAACAAATATCCGCACAAAAGCCAATGAACGTCAGTCAGCGGCAGACGCCATAAACATGGCCGAAGTTTGAGCCTTGGGTTTTTGGCCGAAAAATCTCCATTTCCCCCGAAGTGAAAGACACGTGCCGGGGCCCCAAAAAACAAAAAAAAAAAAAGAGAACGAATCGGGCAAACAAACGCCGGGGAAAATTGCATGCGAAGGGTAATCGCCGAGAACGGGGACTATTTATAAGCGGACCCACGAAAATCGGGACTCCATATACCATAAATCCGCGCGACCTTAACCTTATCCGCATTACACACAGAAAACCCAAAAACAAACAGAAAACAAGGGGAATCCCCCACGAGATTGAGAGCGGACCACTAAAGACAGGTGAGGTGCGGCACTTTAGAAGCTTTTAGCCGGCTCTTCAATTTGCCTTCCATCCTTCGAAACCATTAAGCTAATACAGATCTTTATTAGTGGTGAGGGTAACTGAAAAACAATTGCTAAGTAAGTGTATCTCTAACATAAAGTGGGATACCAAGAAAAAACATATATTAGTGTTTTTAATTGACTTCAGTTTTCCCTTAAAAGAAACACGATAAAATGAAGAACTTTCAAACCAATTATCTTTCTCGTTGAATTAAAACTATAATAGAAGACAACACCTCAAATATATGAAAAATATCATACTTTCCTAGCTAGTTGAGCCAAGACAAGTTTTACTTCTACGTTCTCAGGAATATTACAACAAAGCCGAAATAGTTTCTTAATAATCTACAAAGTGCTTTTCAAGAAAATTACACCCGCATATTACTTTACCAGACCGATAATTAACGTAATTGGAGTTCTCGAAAGTTGTCAAGAGCTAAGTTTATGACCCTTAAAGCTCCTGTTCAATTTGAAATAACTTGTCACGTTCGTTCGCGGGGATATAGCCAACAAAGAGAAAACAGCAGACGGATAAAGCCGGATAATACAAAGACGAAAGTGAGTCAATAAATTTGACAATGTTTTTGTAAAAAATCCTCCAAAAGGGAAGCTGCCGAGGAGTGGCAAAGTGAGGGCATTAAAATAAAATAAAAGACTTGCTCAGACAGTTGCTGTTTGAAAAAGTGCGTGTGGATGGAGGAGGGCAGTGGCTCCCAGGGATGATGGGCGACCGAACCGTTGACAAAGTCAATGTTGTTCATAAAAAACGAAAACAAAACTTAATGGATTTCACAGACACTTTGGCGAGTCTCCAAAAGGGCGGTCGAGAAGAAAATTGCGCGCGAGAATAAAAGTGGCAAAATGCGTTGAAGCAGCTCTCGAATAATTTGCGTTAGGCATCGCACGTCACAGGAAAGTTTTTGGGCCATACGGAGTTGTTGCTTTAGATTCCCAATGGGGCAATCCAAAAAAAATTCTGTCAACATTTTTGTGGTCAAGGGTGCCGACTTTATGATACCCGGTAGCAAATTCCGATACACAAATTGATTAAAATATTTTACAAAATGTTTAGTTTGAGTATATTGTGATACACTTTAGATCCTCCAAGTAGAATGTTTAGTAAGATACAAAGTTGTATATATGCCAATTAAAAAAAACCTAAGTATCTATACGAAACACAAATATTTAAGGCATGGTAAGTAAAACTTAAATCGTTAAAAATGTTTTTCTCTTTGTAATTTACGACATAGTAAATGTCCAATAAGTAAGCAAATGGAAATATTTGCTGCTCTATGAGAAATTTTGTTTAAATTAAACATAAGTTTTTTAGTTATGAGTTATCATAATACAGAATTACATATGTATACAAAAATAAATCTCGCAAACTAAAATAAATAAAGATAATTTTGAATTAATATATAAAGCACTTTGAACAGGAAGGCTTTGTTTATGGTTCGATTATTACAATAAACACTTTAATCATAGCTTCAATATCTAGGTGTGTGGAAACTATTTCAGAAAGTAATCATACCCTGGCTCCCCACTATAATAGGGGAATTCAAAAGTTGCTAAAAAGTAACGCTGTGAAGCCCCCTGCCGCTAATTCTAATACGTATGACATTCAAGGGTAAAATATTTCATAATTCGCACATTTCTGGGGGATTTGGGGAACGCTAATAATTGCGTGAGGGTGTGTGGGTGAGTCTAGTGCTGGTATAAATGATATTTGTGGTGGTATTTGTGTTTGGCTTTGGTTGGGTTTTTGTTTGTTTACTCAGCACTCAGCTGAGCCGGAGGCCCCACACACACACACACACAGGCAGACACACTTGTAAAGCTAATACTCACCTAAACATACACTCACGCATTCAAATGCATTTTCTTTTCATTTTTGTTTTTATTTATTTTTTGTGTATTTTACAGTATGTTTTTGTGTTTTTGTCGCGGTCCGTTTGCTGATAACGCGGACTGGCTGGCGCTTCGTTGATAAAAGGGGATGGGGATAGCGCGACAGTAAATAGTATATTACCGCTTAAATGTTTAGTTTTAGTTTTAGTATTATGCAAAAAGTGGTGATATACACATATTTATTTCGTCTTTGCACAGGACGTTTTTATTAACCGGCGGCAATTCCGTTGCCGCGAAACGAAACGCGTACCGCGCACGCACTTCACTGAAAAGCAGCTGCTGCTACCAGCTGGGGGGCGTGGCTAGGGGCGCGCGGGGCGGTGGGTGGGCGTGTCGAGGAACGGCCTTGCCCACACGAGCTACGCAGCACGAGTACAACTTTAGCACTGAGCAGATAATTCTGTGCGGGGACTGTCGCCAAATAACAACCTATCTCGGAAAGTCTCCCTCTCTTTAGGTTCTCTCTCTCAGGTACTCTCTCTGCGTACGCTCTCTCTTTCTCCGCACTCTCTTTTTCCGAGTTTATTGTGGGTCTGCAGCGGTGTAGAGCTTTTGTGCCAACTCCCGCGCTCCGTTTTCGCTGCTCCAGTTCGCCTTGGCGCCCCGTTAACAACTGAAATTAAACGATACCGCTAGCAAAAGCAGCTGGGCTTTGTTTACTGTTATTTGGCGCAAGCCACTCTCTCCATTTCTCATTCTTTTAAGAAGAGAGAGTTCTCTCACGCATTTGTGTGGCTTACAGTGGCTCAGAAATTCAATGAACGTTCTTGTCATTTAGCCAAGTTAATATAAATTTCCATGGAATATCCAAAAATTAAAAAAAAAAACATAAACAACTACAAATTGCATTGAAAATCTATAAAAAGAATGCTTAGGCATTACTAAAAATACATTCGTATGCATATAAAAACCAGTTTATTTTTAAGGAACCACTACCTTGAGTAATTTTATGCACTTTATTTTGATTTTTTATGGGGAAAGAACTGTTAATTTAATACCTTTAATCAGGTGAATTTGTTTTACTTATATATTTTTTTAAAAATTTGATTTTTTATAAGTAATAAGAAAGTTATTTTGTTTTTTTATTTACTACTTGTTAATTTTTTTGAAGCTTGAATTTCTTAAGTCCCCACTAAAATCTACCTTCCTCTGTGCACTGTGGGATCAGCGCAGGCGCCGGACTTAGCCTGGTCTTTTCTTTCGACCGTCAGTTGTTTAGCTAAAAGCCGCATAGTTGTTGCTGTCAGAGCTTCCTAACTCAATCTTGGGAAGACGTGACATTAAGTGGCCAAAGGGAAATGTTAGTAGACAGTTGGGGAAAGCCTACTTTTAGGCTGCGTTTTTTAACGCAAAGTTTCTATGTAGCGCAGTTCCTTAGATATTTCCTTAAAAATATAAATTCAATTCAATTTGTTTCTATTTTGTTAAATGATAAAAAATTAATATTTCGGTAATTAATATATATTTTTTATTGACATTTTTGTAGTATTGTTGCGGAATTCGACAACAGCTGAAACCCAGCAGTGAGATCATGTTTGCGAAGTTGCTACTTCTATTTCCTTTTAACCTATTCCCTTTTGCATACGGCTCCTTTAGCTGTAAATTCTCTGAGTCGCTCTTATTCACCACGCTAGCAGAGCGTACATAAAGAATTTGGTGAGATTGTCGATTCTATATTAAGTTCAGTTGTGAATATAAAAGCGAAGGGCTAGGGTAAGAAAATCTACGTAAATTTAAGATCAAGTGTAAAATTAACATTTGCAGAATTTTTAAGAGTCGTCGTTGTCGTCGCCGCTGCACCACGGAGAAGAGCGGCTGAAATAAATTTACTTTACCGGAATTGGAGTTTAATTTAATGTACGGCACTGTAAAAACCAGCTTATTTTCGCAACAAGTATTTTGCAACAAAAATGGAGTAAGTAGTAATTTTAAAAATTATTGTTACCTTCTTAAATACCAACAGTATGCTCTAAACAAAGATACTGATTTAAAGACCTAAAAACATCTTTAACAAGAAAGAAAGGCTAACTTCGGGCGAAGCCGAAATTGATATACCCTTGCATAATATTCTGTAAAATATATTCTCCAAAATTATTCATATGATGCATTCTTAATGCATTCATTTACTCATAAATTTTCCTAACTTTAAAAACACCAAAGTTATAACATTTCCGATCAATCAGTTATATGGCGGCTATAGGATATAGTTCGCCGATCCTTATAAAATTTAGTAGGTCGGATTGATTGGCCAAATATAAAACTTATAGAAAGTCCCAACTTCCTAACTTAACAAACACCAAAGTTATGGCATTTCCGATCAATCAGTTATATGGCTGCTATAGGATATAGTCGACCGATCCTGGCCGTTCCGACTTATATACTGCGTGCAAAGGAAAGAAGGGTGTGAGCAAAGTTTCAATGCGACATCTTTAAAACTGAGAGACTAGTTTGCGTAGAAATAGACAGACGGACATGCTTATATAAACTTAGGACGCGATCCTGATCAAGAATATATATACTTTATAGGGTCAGAATGTCTCCTTCACTGCGTTGCACACTTTTGACCAAAATTATAAGGATATAAAAATACAGCTTACAGAAATTCAACAAATAGCAAATTTTTTAACGATTTAAGCACATAAATCAATCTCATTTAATCAAATAAATGACACCTACTTATGTACTTAATTTAGAACTGTCAGTTAAAGAGTTAATATACTAAAAAACCAACCGGTGACGTGGGTCAGTAGAACTCCCTCAATTTGGAGCTAGACGGCTCGGCTGTTGTCGTCTCCGGCTGGTCCTGCTGCGGATCAGCCTGAGCATCCGCATAGGGGTCGTCTTCCGCTTCCGCTTCCGTTTCCGGTTCCTCCTCCACCACCCGCACCCCATCCTCGCAAACGGCAATGGGCTGACGCTCCAGCAAGGGGCGTGGCAGGCGGCTCAGGAAGGCCGAGCAATAGGTCCGGATGGTCTCGCACTCGCCGGGAGTCCGCTTGACCACGAACGCACACGTCTGGATGATGTCATGCGGTGTATTGTCCATGTACTGGAACACCAAGTGCTGCTCCTCAGCCTCGCCATGCGTAACCACTTTGCCATGCAAACTGTCGACGGGGAAATGAAAAGCCAATTAGCGAGCCACCATACCAAAGCCACCATCCACTGGCGAAAGTTCATCTCACCCAACTGGTTTGCCCGGCACTTTCATTTCCAGATCCTCATATTTTCCCAGGACATAGTCGAATTGTGTTTTGACATCGCTCTCCTCCATCTGTGGTATCGGCAGTAAATTGCGTATTTAGTCATGAAAAAAGTAATAAATGATTTGCATTATTTATCAATTTATTTTTTAAATTTAATTTAGTAAAAATAAAATTGTTGTTATTGATTTATAGTAAACTAAATATAAACTATGTTTAAATGTTTCCCTTGGAAAATAAAAACGGGCAGAAACAGCAGAGTATAAAAAATAAAAAAATTAATTTTTTTTAAATTTAATATTTTTTTTTTTTTTTTTTTTTTTTTTTTAAAAAAAAAAATATTTTTTTTTAAATTTTTAAAATAAATTATTTTTTTTTTTTTTTTTTTTTTTTTTTTTTTTTTTTTTTAAATAAAAAAAAAAAAATTTTTTTTTTTAAAAAAAAAATAATTTTTTTTTTTTTTTTAATTTTTTTAAATTTTAAAAAATATTAAAAAAAAAAAAAATTATTTTTTTTTTAAAATAATATATTTTTTTTTTTTTAAAATAATATAACCTAAGAATAAAAATATGTTAATTGTGCCCGACTCTAATTATTGACAATTTATACTCCATTAAAATTCCCAAAAAAATACTCGTTTAAAATTTGTGAATGTCTTATTAAATTTGTAAGCCAATACTAAACAAAAATAAAACATTTAGGTGAATCATTCCAACCAAAAAATAATTATACTATAAAGCAATATCATACTCACATCATCAATGCAGTGATTTGGCGGGATGCAGATTGTAAACTGAAAAGAAATTTAGAATTTTGGTCTCTTTAGATATCTGTTATCAGCTCTTACCACAACATTAGACATTGAAATAAATCCCAGACCCAGCAGCAGACAGCTTGATATATCCATGGCTCTACCGTGCGATGATCAGCTCAGACTAAACTAATTCAAAATCAGAAATGGTCAGCGGATCGCAATATAAATGCGAGAGATATGAATATGAAATATTCCCGCTCATTGTTCTCGCTTCGCTTCGGTGTAAGATGTGACGTCATGATAATTATAAAATTTAAAAAAAATCTATGCACTAGCAAACAATTGAAGAGCTGGGCAAATCTCACACGCTAGCTACCAATTTCCACTAAAATATATTTACTCAAATGAGTGATTTTAACTTGCAGATAGCAAATGAGTTTTTTGGAGCAATTCTATCAACGCATATTTTTAGCTGAAACACATTTATTTACTCCCCGTTCTACGCAAATATACTAATTGGAAATATATTTGTGTCTAACAAATAACAAGCTGCATAAATTCGGATCTATTTAGAAAAGATCTAAGCAAACAGTTATCTTTCAGCTATATAAGGCGTTGCATCTACAACTGAAAATTATTACACAGAAGATGTATACACCTGGCTGCGAACATAAGATGAGGGCTTTCGTTTTGTGGAGCTTGTTGTTTTTGGTCATTTTTGGGGTGGCTTCTCCGACTGATGCCCAAACTGATGCCCCATCCGAAGCCTCAACTGCGGCTCCAACTGAGGCCACAACTGAGGCTCTAACTGAAGCTCCAACTTCGGCCCCAACTGAGCCTTCAACTGAAGCCCAAACTGCGGCCCCAACTGAGGCTACAACTGAAGATCCAACTACGGTCACAACTCCGGCCCCAACTACGGTCACAACTCCTGCCCCAACTACGGTCACAACTCCGGCCCCAACTACGGTCACAACTCCGGCCCCAACTACGGTCACAACTCCGGCCCCAACTACGGACACAACTCCTGCCCCAACTACGGTCACAACTCCGGCCCCAACTACGGTCACAACTCCGGCCCCAACTACGGTCACAACTCCGGCCCCAACTACGGCCACAACTAAGGCCACAACTAAGGCCACAACTAAGGCCCCAACTAAGGACACAGCTCAGGCCACAACTAAGGCCACAACTAAGGCCACAACTAAGGCCACAACTAAGGCTCCAACTGAAGACCTGCGTAAGGAAAATGCCAAGAAAAAGAGAGATCAAGCAGCCAGAAGAGCGGCCAGGAGAGCGGCCAGGGCAGCCAGGAAAGAAAAAAGGGACGAGGAAAAGGAAGCCAAGAAAAGGGATGCCAAGGAAAAGCAGCTAGGGAACGATCATACAGGGAAAGGGCAGAAAGGAAAAAGACATCTATGAAGAAGAATCAGAAAGAAAAGGGCGGCCAGTGAGAAAGCTGCCGAGAAGAAACGTCTGAACCGCAAAGAAAAGAAAAATCGATCTTAACGAGGTAAAAGTATTCAATTTGAAAGTTGAAAATAATTATCTATTAAAATTTTTATGTTTTTAATCTCAGTAAATACAATAAATCCTTACAGTGCATTCCAAAACCCATTTTAAGACATATTTTATTTTAGTATATAATTTGTTGTTAAAATATAAAGCCATAAATAGGGTGTCTCAAGCGACAATAGCGGATAAAAATTAGTGTGCACCAATGTATTTTAAAGAATTTTATATCTCCCTCCTAAAAACACTCAGTTGTTCGCCAATATCTGACCCAATCGCGGTGAGTGCTGCGCAAACAATCGCAAAACAAATAACACAAAATTCGACAGAAACAACTGGATAATTTTGGGAGTAGTTTTTAGATGGTGCACCATCTGTCAATACGATCGATGGAAGAGGAGGGCGGCCCGGAAAGGGGCTCAAAGGAGGCGTGCCCAAAGGAGAAGTGCCGCACACTAAAGAAGAATTCAAAGCCTTTCATTTGAATTCCAATTTTTTACCTTTTTGTATTGGGTTTGCCGACCTTTGCCTATATTTAATGTCTTCTATAACACAACGTTGTGTTGGTTATTTTTAAACTAAATAAAATACATTTATAGAACTTCACTAGTTAATTACAAAATATTTTCATTGACTTCTTCTGAACTACGAAGAAATCTCAGCAAAAAACAGTTAAACCAAATTGGTCATGTGCAAGGTAACTATTTGTACATCACATAAAACCACCTTCAACCTATAATGGAGAAACTAGTCATATTGTGGGTACATAGTCAATAACAAACAGCGTTCAAGGTGATTATCTCCAAAAGTGTTCTAACTCGATAATTCTATAACGAAAATCTGCTTCTTCTAACAAAAAATACACTGAGGGATAAATCAATACATATCTAAGAAACAAAATTCTAGAGCATAAATGCTTTAAACTCACAGTAATGTATTATTAATAGTTATAATGTGATTTAAGGTAATGTGATTTAATTATAAATAAAAACAAAAGGTTTATTTTTATACATAAATAATTAAATTTGTAAACTCTTTTTGTAAATTAAAGTTTACTCGAAATTGTATTACTTAATTAAATTTAAAAAAAAACTTTAATATAAAACGTGAAGCAAATACATTTTTAGAAGAAATTTGTTTAACTAGATCGTTTCATCTCCGTAAGTAGTTATATCTTTGTCAGCCAATAGTTGGCGAATTCTGAGCAAACAATCTGGGAGTCTACATACATATCTAAACAAACTATGTAGAAACAGCTGCGTACATTTGGCCTATAGTCCTTGAATGAGAAGAGCACCTGTGATCGACCCGCTATAAAAGCCTTTCCGAAATCCGACATCACCACCAATCAACAATCCCAAACCAGCAAATCCACAATGAGAGCCGCCACCATCAGCTGCGCCATCTTCCTCCTGGCAACCTGCCTTTTGAGGAGCAGTGAGGCGGTGACCTGCACCGCTGACCCCACCGTCACTGGCTGCATCAACTGCACCACCGATCCCACAAACGCAGAATGCGTGGCCGAGGCCGCCACCACCACCACCACCACCACCTCAACCACTGTGGCGCCATCCACGAGTTCCAGCACCTCCGCCACGCCCAGCAGTTCGTCCGGAAACGGCAAGATTGTGCGTATAACCGACCTGAACTACTCCGTCTCCCGTCGCATCCACCTCAGCACCACTACACGCTCCACCAACCGCAGTGGCAGGAACAATCGTCGGCGCAACACCAATACCAACAAGAACCGCAACCAGAGACGCAATAACAACAATGGCAGGCGTGGCAACAACAGTAGCCGACGTGGTAACGGAAATGTCCGTGTTGTGGCTGTTTAGAAATTAAGATCTCTGAGAAAATTGTTATTCAAAGTAATAAAGTTGAAGAAAAATGTAAATACACATATTTGGATTTCTTACTCTAATTAAAAGAGGCCGAAGTTTATATACCCCTGCAGCTTTTAAAAAAGTTAAATGCTTTATAATTCGATTTCGATGCTTAAAAACCTTGGATGGATTTTTCGATACATTTTTCGATCGTTTTTATTGCAGCTATCTGATATAGTCGTCCGATTTTTATAAAACCTAAATTCTGAGATCGACGACATTAATATATCTCAGAATTGGTATATGTTAGCATTCGTATCCTACATTATATTAATTATTTAATAAATACCCATTTAAATACTTCATTAAATGCCAAAAATGATCAAAAGAAATACTCGGATCTCTTCCAAATTCGTATGATTAATCTATGTAGTTTCCATTGGAAACGCTCAGGATGATTCACGAGTGTGTAATGTTTTACGTATTAAAATCAATTATTATTGATCAACAGCCAACTCTTAATAAAAACAAACAAATAAAATTTCGAATTCAGTTTACACATAAATATTAGATATTTAATACAAAACAACTGGTTGCCAAAAAGTATGCTGTACACAATACTAAGTATTTCTAAGGGGTTGTTCCCTTTCTTGAACAAAACGCCTATTAAAACGTTAAAACCCAATTGCTGAATGTAGTTCATTTTATTAGGAGCAGAAAAGGTCTTTATAACGGTTGACTACTATTGGATTATTGGCACAGTTGTTTAAAATTTGAACGTGTTTTAATTATATTTGCTGAGAAATTATAAACGATTGCCTTAGAAAGTTATTTCTATTTGTGTTTTGTTAGAGAAACGGGTAACATTATACAACTATATAAGAGGTTAATACTCCTTCACCAAAAGCATTCAAACTAATACTGTTTTTTTGAGCAAATGTTGTAAAATATTGCAAACATTTTTCATTATAAACTTACCTAACTTTAGTGAGTTACCTCGAAGATTACCTATTTACTGATATGTATCAACTAGTTTAGTTCCTTAAATCTTTCTTTAAAAATGTAAATTCAATTAAATTTGTTTCGATTTTGTTAGATAATAAAAAATTTATATAAATATTTCGGTAATTAAATATATATTAATTATTGACATTTTTAGTATTTTGCAAAAAAAATGGAGTAAGACGTAAGTATAAAAATTGTTGTTTCTTTCTTAAATACCAACAGTATGCTCTAAAACAAAAGATATTGATGTAAAGACCTAAAACATCTTTAAAAATACAGCTTACAGAAATTTTACAAATAGCAAATTCTTTAACGATTTAAGCACATAAATCAATCTCATTTAATCAAATAAATGACACCTACTTATGTACTTAATTTAGAACTGTCAGTTAAAGAGTTAATATACTAAAAAACCAACCGGTGACGTGGGTCAGTAGAACTCCATCAATTTGGACCTAGCCGGCTCGGCTGTTGTCGTCTCCGGCTGGTCCTGCTGCGGATCAGCCTGAGCATCCGCATAGGGGTCGTCTTCCGCTTCCGTTTCCGTTTCCGGTTCCTCCTCCACCACCCGCACCCCATCCTCGCAAACGGCAATGGGCTGACGCTCCAGCAAGGGGCGTGGCAGGCGGCTCAGGAAGGCCGAGCAATAGGTCCGGATGGTCTCGCACTCGCCGGGAGTCCGCTTGACCACGAACGCACACGTCTGGATGATGTCATGCGGTGTATTGTCCATGTACTGGAACACCAAGTGCTGCTCCTCCGCCTCGCCATGCGTAACCACTTTGCCATGCAAACTGTCGACGGGGAAATGAAAAGCCAATTAGCGAGCCACCATACCAAAGCCACCATCCACTGGCGAAAGTTCATCTCACCCAACTGGTTTGCCCGGCACTTTCATTTCCAGATCCTCATATTTTCCCAGGACATAGTCGAATTGTGTTTTGACATCGCTCTCCTCCATCTGTGGTATCGGCAGTAAATTGCGTATTTAGTCATGAAAAAAGTAATAAATGATTTGCATTATTTATTAATTTTGTTTTTAAGTTTAATTTAGTACAAAAAAATTGTTGTTATTGATTTATAGTAAACTAAATATAAACTATGTTTAAATGTTTCCCTTGGAAAATAAAAAACGGGCAGAAACAGCAGAGTATTAAAAAATATGTTAATTGTGCCCGACTCTAATTATTGACAATTTATACTCCATTAAAATTCCCAAAAAAATACTCGTTTAAAATTTGTGAATGTCTTATTAAATTTGTAAGCCAATACTAAACAAAAATAAAACATTTAGGTGAATCATTCCAACCAAAAAATAATTATACTATAAAGCAATATCATACTCACATCATCAATGCAGTGATTTGGCGGGATGCAGATTGTAAACTGAAAATAAATTTAGAATTTTGGTCTCTTTAGATATCTGTTATCAGCTCTTACCACAACATTAGACATTGAAATAAATCCCAGACCCAGCAGCAGACAGCTTGATATATCCATGGCTCTACCGTGCGATGATCAGCTCAGACTAAACTAATTCAAAATCAGAAATGGTCAGCGGATCGCAATATAAATGCGAGAGATATGAATATGAAATATTCCCGCTCATTGTTCTCGCTTCGCTTCGGTGTAAGATGTGACGTCATGATAATTATAAAATTTAAAAAAAATCTATGCACTAGCAAACAATTGAAGAGCTGGGCAAATCTCACACGCTAGCTACCAATTTCCACTAAAATATATTCACTCAAATGAGTGATTTTAACTTGCAGATAGCAAATGAGTTTTTTGGAGCAATTCTATCAACGCATATTTTTAGCTGAAACACATTTATTTACTCCCCGTTCTACGCAAATATACTAATTGGAAATATATTTGTGTCTAACAAATAACAAGCTGCATAAATTCGGATCTATTTAGAAAAGATCTAAGCAAACAGTTATCTTTCAGCTATATAAGGCGTTGCATCTACAACTGAAAATTATTACACAGAAGATGTATACACCTGGCTGCGAACATAAGATGAGGGCTTTCGTTTTGTGGAGCTTGTTGTTTTTGGTCATTTTTGGGGTGGCTTCTCCGACTGATGCCCAAACTGATGCCCCATCTGAAGCCTCAACTGCGGCTCCAACTGAGGCCACAACTGAGGCTCTAACTGAAGCTCCAACTGCGGCCCCAACTGAGCCTTCAACTGAAGCCCAAACTGCGGCCCCAACTGAGGCTACAACTGAAGATCCAACTACGGTCACAACTCCGGCCCCAACTGAAGCCCCAACTGACGCTCCAACTGAAGCTCCAACTCCGGCCCCAACTACGGTCACAATTCCGGCCCCAACTACGGTCACAACTCCGGCCCCAACTACGGTCACAACTCCTGCCCCAACTACGGTCACAACTCCGGCCCCAACTACGGTCACAACTCCGGCCCCAACTACGGTCACAACTCCGGCCCCAACTACGGTCACAACTCCGGCCCCAACTACGGACACAACTCCGGCCCCAACTACGGTCACAACTCCGGCCCCAACTACGGTCACAAGTCCGGCCCCAACTACACCGGCCCCAACTAGGTCACAACTCCGGCCCCAACTACGGCCACAACTAAGGCCACAACTAAGGCCCCAACTAAGGACACAGCTCAGGCCACAACTAAGGCCACAACTAAGGCCACAACTAAGGCCCCAACTAAGGCTCCAACTGAAGACCTGCGTAAGGAAAAAGCCAAGAAAAAGAGAGATCAAGCAGCCAGAAGAGCGGCCAGGAGAGCGGCCAGGGCAGCCAGGAAAGCAAAAAGGGACGAGCAAAAGGAAGCCAAGAAAAGGGATGCCAAGGAAAAGCAGCTAGGGAAAGATCATACAGGGAAAGGGCAGAAAGGAAAAAGACATCTATGAAGAAGAATCAGAAAGAAAAGGGCGGCCAGTGAGAAAGCTGCCGAGAAGAAACGTCTGAACCGCGAAGAAAAGAAAAATCGATCTTAACGAGGTAAAAGTATTCAATTTGAAAGTTGAAAATAATTATCTATTACAATTTTTATGTTTTTAATCTCAGTAAATACAATAAATCCTTACAGTGCATTCCAAAACCCATTTTAAGACATATTTTATTTTAGTATATAATTTGTTGTTAAAATATAAAGCCATAAATAGGGTGTCTCAAGCGACAATAGCGGATAAAAATTAGTGTGCACCAATGTATTTTAAAGAATTTTATATCTCCCTCCTAAAAACACTCAGTTGTTCGCCAATATCTGACCCAATCGCGGTGAGTGCTGCGCAAACAATCGCAAAACAAATAACACAAAATTCGACAGAAACAACTGGATAATTTTGGGAGTAGTTTTTAGATGGTGCACCATCTGTCAATACGATCGATGGAAGAGGAGGGCGGCCCGGAAAGGGGCTCAAAGGAGGCGTGCCCAAAGGAGAAGTGCCGCACACTAAAGAAGAATCCAAAGCCTTTCATTTGAATTCCAATTTTTTACCTTTTTGTATTGGGTTTGCCGACCTTTGCCTATATTTAATGTCTTCTATAACACAACGTTGTGTTGGTTATTTTTAAACTAAATAAAATACATTTATAGAACTTCACTAGTTAATTACAAAATATTTTCATTGACTTCTTCTGAACTAGGACGAAATCTCTGCAAAAAAATGTTAAACCAAATTGGTCATGTGCAAGGTAACTATTTGTACATCACATAAAACCACCTTCAACCTATAATGGAGAAACTAGTCATATTGTGGGTACATAGTCAATAACAAACAGCGTTCAAGGTGATTATCTCCAAAAGTGTTCTAACTCGATAATTCTATAACGAAAATCTGCTTCTTCTAACAAAAAATACACTGAGGGATAAATCAATACATATCTAAGAAACAAAATTCTAGAGCATAAATGCTTTAAACTCACAGTAATGTATTGTTAATAGTTATAATGTGATTTAAGGTAATGTGATTTAATTATAAATAAAAACAAAAGGTTTTTTTTTAAACATAAATAATTAAATTTATAAACTCTTTTTGTAAATTAAAGTTTACTCGAAATTGTATTACTTAATTAAATTAAAAAAAAAACTTTAATACAAAACGTGAAGCAAATACATTTTTGGAAGAAATTTGTTTAACTAGATCGTTTCTTCTCCGTAAGTAGTTATATCTTTGTCAGCCAATAGTTGGCGAATTCTGAGCAAACAATCTGGGAGTCTACATGCATATCTAAACAAACTATGTAGAAACAGCTGCGTACATTTGGCCTATAGTCCTTGAATGAGAAGAGCACCTGTGATCGACCCGCTATAAAAGCCTTTCCAAACTCCGACATCACCACCAATCAACAATCCCCAACCAGCAAATCCACAATGAGAGCCGCCACAATCAGCTGCGCCATCTTCGTCCTGGCAACCTGCCTTTTGAGGAGCAGTGAGGCGGTGACCTGCACCGCTGACCCCACCGTCACTGGCTGCATCAACTGCACCACCGATCCCACAAACGCAGAATGCGTGGCCGAGGCCGCCACCACCACCACCACCACCACCTCAACCACTGTGGCGCCATCCACGAGTTCCAGCACCTCCGCCACGCCCAGCAGTTCGTCCGGAAACGGCAAGATTGTGCGTATAACCGACCTGAACTACTCCGTCTCCCGTCGCATCCACCTCAGCACCACTACACGCTCCACCAACCGCAGTGGCAGGAACAATCGTCGGCGCAACACCAATACCAACAAGAACCGCAACCAGAGACGCAATAAAAACAATGGTAGGCGTGGCAACAACAGTAGCCGACGTGGTAACGGAAATGTCCGTGTTGTGGCTGTTTAAAAATTAAGATCTCTGAGAAAATTGTTATTCAAAGTAATAAAGTTGAAGAAAAATGTAAATACACATATTTGGATTTCTTACTCTAATTAAAGTAAGCCGAAGTTTATATACCCCTGCAGCTTTTAAAAAAGTTAAATGCTTTATAATTCGATTTCGAAGCTTAAAAACCTTGGATGGATTTTTCGATACATTTTTCGATCGTTTTTATTGCAGCTATCTGATATAATCGTCCGATTTTTTAAATCCTAAATTCTGAGATCGACGACATTAATATATCTCAGAATGGGTATATGTTATAAAAGCAATGGAATTATAATGTTATTTTCCTGTTGAGTGGTTAGCATCCGTATCCTACTTTATATTAATTATTTAATAAATACCCATTTAAATACTTCATTAAATGCCATTTGATCAGAAGAAATACTCGGATCTCTTCCAAATTCGAATGATTAATCTATGTAGTTTCCATTGGAAACGCTCAGGATGATTCACGAGTGTGTAATGTTTTACGTATTAAAATCAATTATTATTGATCAACAGCCAATTCTTAATAAAAATAAAACGTGTCTTAACAAATAAAATTTCGAATTCCGTTTAAACATATATATTAGATATTTAATACAAAACAACTGGTTGCCAAAAAGTATGCTGTACACAATACTAAGTATTTCTAAGGGGTTGTTTCCTTTCTTGAACAAAACGCCTATTAAAGCGCTAAAACCCAATTGCTGAATGTAGTTCATTTTATTAAGAGCAGAAAAGGTCTTTATAGCGGTTGACTACTATTGGATTATTGGCACAGTTGTTTAAAATTTGAACGTGTTTTAATTATATTTGCTGAGAAATTATAAACGATTGCCTTAGAAAGTTATTTCTATTTGTGTTTTGTTAGAGAAATGGGTAACATTATACAACTATATACGAGGTTAATACTCCTTCACCAAAAGCATTCAAACTAATACTGTTTTTATACCCTTGCAGAGGGTATTATAATTTTGGTCAAAAGTGTGCAACGCAGTGAAGGAGACATCTCCGACCCTATAAAGTATATATATTCTTGATCAGGATCACCTCCTGAGTTGATATAGCCATGTCCGTCTGTCCGTCTGTCCGTCTGTCCGTCTGTCTGTCCGTCTGTCCGTATGTCTGTTTCTACGCAAACTAGTCTCTCAGTTTTAAAGCTATCGAATTGAAACTTTGCACACACCCTTCTTTCCTTTGCACGCAGTATATAAGTCGGAACGGCCGGGATCGGCCGACTATATCCTATAGCTGCCATATAACTGATTGATCGGAAATGCCATAACTTTGGTGTTTGTAAAGTTAGGAAGTTGGGATTTTCTATGGGTTTTATTTTTGGCTAATAAATCCGACCTACCAAATTTCATAAGAATCGGCCGACTATATCTTATAGCTGCCATATAACTGAACGATTGGAAATGACATAACTTTGGTGTTTTTAAAGTTAGGAAGTTGGGACATTTTATGAGTATTAAGAATACATCATATGAATAATTTTGGACAATATAATTTATAAAATATTCTGCAAGGGTATATCAACTTCGGCTCCGCCCGAAGTTAGCTTTCCTTTCTTGTTCATTATAAACTTACCTAACTTTAGTGAGTTACCTCGAAGATTACCTATGTACTGCTATGTATCAACTAGTTTAGTTCCTTAAATCTTTCTTTAAAAATTTAAATTCAATTAAATTTGTTTTGATTTTGTTATATAATATTTCGGTAATTAAATATATATTGATTATTGACATTTTTTAGTATTTTGCAAAAAAAATGGAGTAAGACGTAAGTATAAAAATTGTTGTTACTTTCTTAAATACCAACAGTATGCTCTAAAAAAAAAGATATTGATGTAAAGACCTAAAACATCTTTGAAAATACAGCTTACAGAAATTTTACAAATAGCAAATTCTTTAACGATTTAAGCACATAAATCAATCTCATTTAATCAAATAAATGACACCTACTTATGTACTTAATTTAGAACTGTCAGTTAAAGAGTTAATATACTAAAAAACCAACCGGTGACGTGGGTCAGTAGAACTCCATCAATTTGGACCTAGCCGGCTCGGCTGTTGTCGTCTCCGGCTGGTCCTGCTGCGGATCAGCCTGAGCATCCGCATCGGGGTCGTCTTCCGCTTCCGTTTCCGGTTCCTCCTCCACCACCCGCACCCCATCCTCGCAAACGGCAATGGGCTGACGCTCCAGCAAGGGGCGTGGCAGGCGGCTCAGGAAGGCCGAGCAATAGGTCCGGATGGTCTCGCACTCGCCGGGAGTCCGCTTGCCCACGAACGCACACGTCTGGATGATGTCATGCGGTGTATTGTCCATGTACTGGAACACCAAGTGCTGCTCCTCCGCCTCGCCATGCGTAACCACTTTGCCATGCAAACTGTCGACGGGGAAATGAAAAGCCAATTAGCGAGCCACCATACCAAAGCCACCATCCACTGGCGAAAGTTCATCTCACCCAACTGGTTTGCCCGGCACTTTCATTTCCAGATCCTCATATTTTCCCAGGACATAGTCGAATTGTGTTTTGACATCGCTCTCCTCCATCTGTGGTATCGGCAGTAAATTGCGTATTTAGTCATGAAAAAAGTAATAAATGATTTGCATTATTTATTAATTTTGTTTTTAAGTTTAATTTAGTACAAATAAATTGTTGTTATTGATTTATAGTAAACTAAATATAAACTATGTTTAAATGTTTCCCTTGGAAAATAAAAAACG